TATAAAGTTGCAAGTTATATTAATGAATTTTAAGTTGTGTATTCTTGTTGTTTACTTTTTTTACATTCGTTTGTTGTGTTCGAATAAGTTTTTTTGTTTGTGTTGTTCATTTATTTTCGTTTATTGTGTTCGTTCGTTCGTGTTCGTTTATGTTCGTTTATTATTTAAATGAACGAACATGAACAAGTTATATTCCTTAATAAACGAACATGAACATACCTCTATTCGTGTGGTTCGATTCGTTTACAGGCCTACAGGTGGGTAAGGTACACCAACCGAATTCTGATGGACTAATTTTAATTTTTGAGTTGGAAGCAACGCATTTATCGTATTATAATCTATACTTATTATATAATTATAATAATTATTATTTTTTACATAATGTAATAATTTATCTTTAATTTTTATAATATAATCACTTTGCTATATACTTTCCAGTACTTCGAAACCGATAAGTACTTCCCAGTACAAACGCTCATATGAAGACTGCATATGAAAACTGTTCAACTATGTATTTCTTTATTAATTTATACATACATTGCATTTTATCTTTATTTTAATTTTTTGACTACCGGAGGTCTTCAACGGAAGCTACTCTCAACAATGCGTTGGGGGCAGCCTACTACCCTACCTCTCCCTTACCCTATTATATATGAGAATAGGGTTTTGTTGTTGTTGTTGTACTTTGCTATATATTTTTTATTAATTATAATTCTCGATGTTTTTTTGTTTAAAATAATTATTTTTATGGTTATTTGATGATATGATTAGTCATTATACTTAGCATGATAATTTGATTTAAATTTGATGAATAATGATTCGATTCAAATTCAATAGGTTCTGGTTTTTTTTGAGATGGAAGAGTTGAATTTTGATCGGATCAATTTTGTAAAGGGTGAATTCGAGTTCGAGTTTAGAGTGAAAATCTTTGACTCGAGATAATAATATAATTTTCTTTCATATATTTTGAAAATAATTGTTATAATACCCATTTATTTATATTTTCTTTTCAATTTGATTCTTAGTTTACTCGATAAAAATGTGATTTTTTATACATATTTATACCAAATTAAATTAAATGTGAATTTTTATCTTAAAATTTGAATCGAGTCTAAGATCGAATAAAATCTCTCTGAATTCATGCTAAATCAACTTTGATAAAGATATTATGTTTATCGTTACAATCTCTCATTACATCCTACTACAAATTTTTTATATAGTTTAATAATTAAAATTTTAGATGAAATAGATAATTTTAAAATACAAAATTTTAAATTAAATCAAACACGATTCAATCTAATTGAATCAAAACAGTTTACTTTTTAATAAATTAATACTTATTATTTAAAAGTCTAATTCAATTAGTATCATCACTAAATCGTTTTTTTTTAAAGAAATCACTAATTTTGTTTAAAATAGGAAATATCCTCAATTACAATAAATATTTACAATCATAATCGTAAATTAATCATATAATTAAGATAATTTTTTATAATTATTAAAACAAAACTATTAATTTAAAGATTGCATAAGGGTCATACAAGAAAATATTAAAATCTAACCAATAAAACTCAAACAAATATAGATACAAACATATTTGATCGCATCGACAAAAGAACCACAAAAGGGGATCAAGCTACTAAAAGAACACCGATAAACCGCAAATCATAATCGAGCGATGTGAAAAGCTATCCACGAATGCATAACGGGTATCAAAATCCAATCCGATTGTTCAAAGCAGGAAATATCAACAATATATCATATGAACGACATATTGATCAGTGGTGGCGATGTTAATCAACCCTTAGAAAAAAATAAATGAAAACAACGGTCAAACGATCGAAAAATGTGCCATAAAGGCAGAGGAAAACGTGTTATACAGACATACTTATTGAAAATAAAAAAACGAGAGAAAATAAAAGGACAATAAAAAATATCGGCGGTCGATAACCAACATTAAAGTTGATGTCGTCGCCGATCAACAAAAAAAAAGATAACGGTTTACCAATCAGTAAATCGTAAGAATTAATTAAAAAATTATAAGAAGATAATTTTATATTTCATAATTAATATCATTATAATACTATTTCTTCATACTTTTATATTAAATAAAATATAAAATAATCCCATAAATCGTTAAAATGATTATTGTTATCTCTAGAAATTTTAAGTTTAACCATAATATCGGTACTTATCAAATAATTAAGAATTTTTCGAATAAACGTTATCTTATAATCACCTAAAATAATAAAAAAAAATATTTTTTCACCCTATATATATTGAAACTTGTAAAATTTATAAATTTTAAATTATATATAGAATATTAAAATTTATATAAAAAATTGAATCGGCTAAAATACTCCAGTTCATGCTTTCGGCCTATGACTTTATACCCAATGAATTGTATTTCCCCAAAATCAGCCGAAAATAAGTTCATGGTCCCCGTGACCAATTGTGGTGGCCGTTTACGTCCATCTCTCTACCCTTTTATTCCCATTTTTTGTTATTTTCTTTTACTAGTTTTCAATTTTAGTTTTATCATAGTTTAATATTAATGTTTTCTCTTGACCCTTTTTGTAGTAAAAGGTATCATAGCTACTAGTGTTTGTGGACTTTCAATGCAGGTTTATTTCTTGGATTTTCTTCTTGATCTATATTCCAACATGTTTCTATGGATGTGATTGCCTTTTAGAGGAGATCGCCTTCTCTGTTTGACATTTTGGATCTTCCTCAAGTTTTTCTCTTCCATGGTTGGTGCTCAGAGCCGTTGGTGCGATCAGTTTATATACGTCATCATTTCATTTATTCATACTTTTGCTTATCAAACTATCACTACGCGATCATTGTAAGATTTTATGATAGTCCCGACTGTGTTTGCTTAGTCTGTAATTAGCAAGGCGTTATTGATACAATTTTCGATAAATGAATATTTTCTTGTATTACTTTCCAAAAAAATATTATAAATAATGATATTTAAATTGAACTCATGCTTGGGTTTTTAAATTTGGGCTTGGATCAGATCAGATTTTTTAGAGATAAAATATAGTCAAGTCGGATTCAAGTTTATGGTAAAAAAACTCGATTTGATATGATCTGAATAATAATATAATTATATCTTATATATTTATGGATAATTACAATAATAATTCTCTCTATATTAATTTTTAAATTAGATCTCTATTTTATCGAATAAAATTAATAATTTTTATAAATATATTTGTTTCATATCAGGTCAAATTTTTTCTCAAAAGATGAGTCAAGTGTTAGTTCGGATGGAGTCATCCTAAATTTAAGTTTAATCGTATTTTAGATGAAAATTATATATTTTTCAAATCGGATAGAATTCATTAAAACCTGACCATCTCCATCCTTATTTATACGAGTGGTACCCAAAAGTCTCACACGTCCATTTCATTATATGGTTCTATAAATACTTAATTTATGGTTGATAAATATGAATACCTAATTGACAACCTTGCTTGGATGAATTGGCTGAAAGAATAGAGGGAAAATAAAGTAATTTTAAATGAATTTTATGTGCAAAAGTCGGTTGCTTTTTATCTGTTTGTTGGGTGGAGGGATTTAAAGAAGTTTTAAGATTGAATGACATGAACTAACCCTAAATACCATATTTATACCATTATCATGCGAAGGGACAAATAAATGATTATATTTTAGAAGATGAAGTTTTATATTTTTTGAATTAATTATTGATATCTAATCTATTGGTCACCTAATTCAAATCGGGTATTACAGAGGCGAGAGTGATGTTATCAATCCAGTTTACTCCATTCACGAACGTCATGATTCGAACCCCTAACATTGTTTAAGAAATGTAGTGCATCGTCTTATTAAACAATCTAAACCAGCTAGTTGTTGGTGAATTTATTATGTTTTAAGAAGATGAATTTATAAAATTTTAGAGATGAAATTAAATAATTAATAAAAAATAAAAATATCTATATAATATAAAAAATTAATATTTTCAAATAGATGATCGATGACAACCTCACCTTCAATCCATCATTGATTATGTGTATTATTATAGTATATAGATTAAAATTATTAGTTTTTTTTCTAATTGGTAAGTTGTTTATTATTTTTTTTATCTTTGTTGATCGACGACATTGTTAATTTAATTATTGATTGTCGACTGTCATTATTCTTTATCGTCCTTTTATTTTCTTATATTATATATTTATTTTCAATAAGTATTTGTATGACATTATTTTATCTATCTTTATAGCACGTTTTTTTTATATGTATTTTGACATTTTTTAATCATTTGGTCATTATTTTTACTTGTTTTTTCTCAATGGTTAATTTGACACTATCACGACTGATCAATATGACACTACCACGACTGATCAATATGTCACTTATATATTATATTGTTGATATTCTCTACTTTGAACTCTTGAATTGGATTTAAATATCTGTTATGTGTTTCTTAATATCTTTTCACATCATTAAAGTCTAATTTGTCATATGTCTTTGATCTTTCAGTAGCTTAATCTCTTTTTGTAATTTGTTTGACGATGTGATGAAATATGTTTGTATCTATCTTTATTCGAGTTTTATTGATTATATTTTTAATATTTTCTTGTATGATTTTTATGTGGTTTTAAATTACTACTTTTGTTTCAATGATTATAGAAAATTGTATTAAATATGTGCTTTAATTTACTATTATAATTGTACATTTTATTATAATTTATGATATTTTTTTTATTTTTGAATAAAATTAGTGATTTTTAGTAAAAAATAATAACACATTAAATATTTTATGAAAATACATGTCACATCAAACTTTTACAAATGATTATAAAAATAAGTTTTTGGTGAGGTATAGTTAGGTTTGAAAGCAGAAGACAGCTTTATCCCAGTCAACTAATCATATTAGATAACCTGTTTCGTCTTTAGCAGACAACATTACTTCATTGTTATAATCTCATCGTCCTCCCCAATTTCCAAAGTTATGAAGCCATAAATATGAAGAATTTAAAGCAAAAGAGCCTCTCCTCCTCTATAAAATCACAACCCCATGTTCATATATTCTCAAGAAAACAATGGCCCAGAAAGCAACCACTGAACCCATTTCAACATCCCGGATCTCATTCTCCAGTGATTTCTTCCTCGACGAAAGCAACTTCATCTCCATCAACCCACATTCTCAACCCGAGGAGAAGGGCGGCGGCAGTAGTGCTGCCGGTGAGCTTTTCTGTCAAGTATTGCAGCGGTCCCGGGAGCATGACGGTAAAACCGGATTCGGAGGAAAAACGGTTAACGAAGAAGACGAGGGAAAAGCGGCGAAGAAAGAGGAGAGGAGGGCGAGTTTGTTCGTCGACGATGACGAGTCCTCGCCGAGGCCACCGAGATGCACGGTTTTGTGGAAAGAGTTGCTGAGGTTGAAGAAGCAACGTGCTTCTTCTATGTTCACATCGTCTTCTTCAAGGAGTAGTGTGAAGACGAGAAAAGGGTTGTTTGAACATAAGTGAATATCATTGAAGGTTGAGTTTGATCCGACATTCTAAGGGGTTTTGTTTGGTTGTTGTTTGAGTTCATTATTTTTTTACTTTCGATATTTGTCTTAATTAATTCAGATCAATTAGTGTCGTACATTTGATTTTATTGAATGGATTACTCAACAAGAATTTTTTGTATTCATAAAGATTTAAACTTGAAACATTGTTTAAATAATATTAAATTGCTTACCACTTAATTCAGATCAATCCGGGTTACATGTTTAATTTTGTTGAATGAGTTACCCAACAAGGATTTTCTACATTCATAAGGATTTAAACTTGAAATCTTACTTAAATAATATTAAACTGCTTACCACTTAAATCAATTCTGTTGATAATTCATCTCATCTTTCGTGTTCGGAGTTAGGTGATTATTTTCTTTGAAGCACAGTGTGATTTACCACTAATGAGATACTGGTCACGTAGATAAAACTGATATTACCAAATTTCTTAATATCCCGATTTGAATCATTTCATATTTAAATATTATTTGTGAATGTTTAATTTAATTCTTTATTTTTAATTTTATAATAATCATTAATTAATCTGTTTATAAATAATAATAGTAGTAGATATGAAATTTTTAGGTGTATAACTACATCCCAACATCCCCTCGATATATCTTTGGTTTTAAACTCATGATTAGGTTGTCATTAGCACTGGGGCTATAAATAAGATAAGACAGATAGTGAGTTACTCGAGATTAACTCAATCAATACTCAAATCAAATAGATTCGACTTGAGCTTTAACTCAACTCGAATTCTTAACGAGCTGAAACGAACTATTTGATACTCGATTCGAAAAGCTCGTAAGCTACTCGAAAAAATAATATATTAAAATTTTAGATTTTTGAAATTAAATTAATAACAATATTACCATTTGTATGTTATTTTTTAAAGAATTAAGAGTCACATTTGCCCTTGTAATACCCAATTTATCATTTGCACCCCTATCGCATTTTCGCATAAATTTAACCTTTAAAGTTATTTAATTACAACATTTTGTACCCTACCCCTAACTTAAAACTCTAAATTAATAACCCTAAATAATAAACCTATAACCTCTAACCCCAAACCATAAACATTAATCTCTTACTTAAAACCCTCAAATTTATGCATGGACTAAAAATACATAATATTAATGAATTCTTATACATTAAAATTTTTAAAAACAATTTGAATAAAATTAAGTGACCAAAACGTAAAAAAACTTAAATTTAGTGATGATTTTGAAGAAAACAAAGGTTGGGTAACTCAAACAAAACCACATAAATAGTTAAGTGACTAAATATGTAATTTACCAACATGTTTTTTTTTACGGAATTAACGATTTAGGGCAATTGAGATAACGATTAGGGGGCAAAATGTACCTAAAAATACTTTAAGGGGTAACTCGGTACAAACGGTATAATTTAGGGGGCATTGATGCATTTAAGCCAAAAAAACAAAGGTTTTATGTATTTAAGGTTCGAGTTCGAATTTGAATCGAGCTTCACTTTTGATTCCGAATGAAACTTGAAAATTTTAAGCTCACGAGCCGAGTCGAGCTTCATTTCTTTATTTTAAGTTCAAGACGAGCTTAAAAATTTTAAAATCACGAATTTTCGAATTAAGTCGAGCTCAATTTTATACTTTTCAAGTCAAATCAGCACTACTTGAGCTCGACTCACTTACAGCCCTAATTGGCACCCAACCATCCAACAAAGTAATGGTTGTCGGACTCAGATCGGTTCGACTACTTGAACCGGTAAGCTAAAACTAGAAATTGAGCAAACTAATGCAACTTTTAAAAAACAATAAAATTTTATATTAATTATTTTTTAATCGAATATTAACTGATAAAAACCGAACCAAAATATGTTACAAAAGTGCTTATGTATGTGCGTACACATGCATGGAAAATACATACATAACCAATATGAACATTCATAAAATTACAATTCAAAAAGAAAAAGAGTTAGTGAGGTATGATGAAGAATGACATTTTAAACTATATTGCCAACAAGAGAAACCCAGAGACAATGGTGAAACTTGCCAGAAAAACTCTTAAAGTAGGCTGAAATCAACTATTTCGACCATTCGAGAAGTGTGAAGCTCACCTCTGGTTGCATGTATAACGTACTTAAGAAGGTGGTGGTGTCAAAAACTGATTCCCAGAAGTCCTAAAACGAATCGAGAGCTCTAGTTTTAGTTGCAAGTTTATGATTTCAAAAAGGTTTAAAGTTGGAAGTAAATATACTTACCGAACTTCGAGCCTCGGTCTTCCAACAAGGCTATCGGGTATTCGGCCAGTCAGATTGTTGTTTTGCAAGAACCTAGAACACGGAAAGAATCATGTCGGGAACAAAGGATCAAAACAGGTTTTCAGAGGGGCTAACCACTAAAACAGTAAAGATGGAGAGGTACACTTAAAAGGAACATGCATATCTGCTATCGATGTTATCCGAACTCAGGGTGAGTGTCGAATACAAATATACGTATGGTAACATAGATGCTTTAAAACATGTGCAATACCGAAAACATGACATTTTGATATTTTACCTATTATGATTAGTTTAACAGAAGCATCTAGCACTAGCGCAAAAGAAGTCGCAAATTTACTGCCGAACTTTTACCCCTTGTATGAACCAAATTGTAAATATTAAACTTAATAAAGTATCCACTGTATGTAATAGTTCATCACGAGAAAATGTTAATGAATCAACGAGGAAGATGACCAAAATGTAAAGATAGACGTATATGTAATGGGCTACGGAAAGTCATGAGGAAAAGAATGCCGGATATCGAGAGAGCGACTTACAGTTCACGCAAGCTTTCAATTTCTCCAAGTGATGATGGAATATCTCCAGTGAGCTGATTGTCTTCCAAATGCCTTTAACAGAAAGTGAAGCATATTAGATATAGGTTCATGAAAAGCAATTATAGAATGCCCATTTACCAACAGTTTAGGCTGCCAAATGAATCAAAGAGAGAAAATATAATAGAATAATGAACTTACAATGTTTCCAGTAGCTTTAATGAACTGAGATCAGGTATTACTCCTGATAAACTGTTATTGCCGAGCCAACTGTTGAAGGAACGATGAAATCAGTTAGAATGTTATTATCTCCGAATTTCAACGCTAGCAATTTAGTTTAATATCTTACATGTTACTCAGTGCAGTTAAATTGGCAATGCTTGGTGACAGTGACCCCAAAAGACCCATACCAGACAGGTTCCTGGAAACAAATGAAGATAAAATAACCATCTTGAGCAACAGTAAGAGAAATGTAGAGCCCGAAAACACTGCATCTTAGTTCACTCACAAAGAAACCACACGAATTCGTTCACCCTCGGAGCATCGAACTCCGGTCCAAGAGTAATCACGGGGCAGACAAGGAACACCGCTCCAATCTAGTGGAGGGTTCCTCAAACTGTTCTTCAATCCTTCTAGAGCTATTACTGCAACAATATATTAGAAGTTCAATCGGTAAAGGTGAAGCGCACCAGCAACAAAGAATATCAGTTCATGATTTAAATTACATAACAGCGGGTAGAAATAGTTAGCAACCATACCATCCCTTGTATGAGTTCTTCCTCCGAGGCGAAGAACATCAAAAATCTCCCCAGCATTGATCAATGGACTAGCATTCGAATTGGCAGCAGGATTTAGAGTTATCTTCGTAGGACCACAAAGAGGCCATCTGGTTGAGAAGACGGCAACCCCTTCCGAACTCACAATCAAATTGTTATAATACCTTACATCATTTATGTGTATGTCAAATGCCCTGGAGCTTGACGGCGAATCACTATTATCCGCAAAATACAGAGCAATGTAATAAGTAGAGTTCGGGAGGGAGAAACGTGGCCATCTCAACTCCAGGGATTCCGATCGAGTCGTTGAAAGTGCTCTTTCAAATACTTTTGAAGGGGGGATATTCGTAGGACCACAAAGAGGCCATCTGGTTGAGAAGACGGCAACCCCTTCCGAACTCACAATCAAATTGTTATAATACCTTACATCATTTATGAGTATGTCAAATGCCCTGGAGCTTGACGGCGAATCACTATTATCCGCAAAATACAGAGCAATTTAATAAGTAGAGTTCGGGAGGGAGAAACGTGGCCATCTCAACTCCAGGGATTCCGATCGAGTCGTTGAAAGTGCTCTTTCAAATACTTTTGAAGGGGGGATATTCCAGAACCCAGAAACAGCCGGGATCTTATTGCTTGCTATAACAGACACATTTTCTTCATATGGCTCCCAATATCGATCAAATTGATCATCAGGGTATCTGGTTGCCAAAAAAGTCACAGAAAGAGTTTACAATAAACAACCCAAGCTCAAATTTCAAGAATTTGATCTCGTACTTTAAATTTGAGAAGTCAGTGCAATCGGATAATAGTGTTAAACTTTGTCGAAAAATCGTTGATGCAATCGGATAAAGAAATAGCAGTTCCTCAATTTATACTAATCAAATTAACAAAAATCAACCATTCAAGTTCATATACCCATCAGCAATTGGTCTAAGTTCTAAATTCTGGTAAAATAAATGTAATGGGTCTTGATGAAATTCAAAATTAGAAAGTAATATATGAATATATAGCTAAAAACCTGCTCCATAAAACTTTGGCTTACCCGATAATGGATCCATTGTGCCCAAAACTGTGCCTAGCAATCAACCTCAAAGCATGAGAATTAAAATTTGTAGTATTGTAAAGCGAGTCCCCCAAAATCAGCATTTCCAAGCTCGAAATAAACGGGTCGGACACCGTATACGTATTCGAAGCAATACACACACTCATCGTACTCCCTTTAGCTTCAAACACGCCTTCGTAATACGACGACAAGCCTTGTAAATAATCCTCCGTCGTGTTCACCACGCTACAGAATGTGCCATCCACAATCTGATCGAAAACGGGAGGCGAAGGAAAATCAAACCCGTTGACTCCGCCGTAGTAGTAAGTTGACCTGATCAAGTATCTCGCGCCGCGGTAGACGCGTGCCACATAGCAGAACTTGCCCCGGAGATTGTTCCGGATAGGGAAC